TAGTGAGGTTGGCCCAGGATTGGACATTGTTTGGTTCTGTGGTTCAAGCTCACGAGCTGCTCCTCAGAAACCCTATCCAGGGTCACTATGGGTCAGAATCGACTTGATAACACTTCACAACAACAACATAGCTCAATTTTTAGGCACATATTGAGCAGGTTTATGATGGGATCAACAACACTAGTGAGGTATGCACACCTCAGAATAATCAGCTAGTGTATATCAAAAGGACAGAATTTATCCAAGGACAAATTTTGGAAGGATTAGGAAAGATGGAGGAATAGGAATAGGAAACAGAAAAGTGGTATAAATGATATTATATTAAGGGGCATATAATCAGTGAGTAGAAGCAAAATATGTATGAATTATTGAATGTAAAACTGATGATCTACTCTGTAAACTCTCATCCAGTTCACAATAAAAAGTAAAAACACACAACCAGAAAAATCATGGAAGGAATGTAGTCACTGTACCAAAAATAAATAAATAAAAAAAATCAATTATTTAAGAAAGTAACATCATCAAGAAATTATAGAACTGAAGGGGAGATGTCCAAGCTGCATTGAAGGCATTAGCAAAAAAAAAAAAAAATAATAATTAATTAAAGAAAGCAAGGGTCCAGGAATTGGTAAGAATTTATAGAGTGCTAATTGAAATGCTTCAATAAAGTGATGTAGCACTGAAATCATCACTAATCAATCCCAAGAAATTTGGAAGACCTGACCAACATACTCCAAAGATGCATATTTATACCTATTCCAAAAAAGATGATCCCACAGAATGTGGAAATTATCGGACACCGTCATTAATATCATATACAAGCAAATTTTTGCTGAAGATAATTCAAGTGGACTTCAGCAGTACATTGACTAAGAGTTGCCAGAAATTCAAGTTGGGTTGAGAAGAGGACGTGAAATTGGGGATATCATTGCTGACATCAGATGGATCTTGGATTAAAGCAGAGAATTCCAGAAAAATGTTTACTTGTGTTTTATTGACTATACAAAGGCATTAGACTGCATGGATCATAAAAAAAAAACATGGATAATATTGTTAAGAATGGAAATTCAAGAACACTTAATGGTGCTCATAAACAATTTGTATACAGACCAATAAACAGGTATTCCAAGAGAATATTTACATTCAATAATTCATACATATTTTGCTTCTTCTCACTGATTATAATCCCCTCAATATAACATCATTTATACCACTTTTCTCTATTTCCTATTTCCATTCTTCAATCTTTCCTAATAATGAATAATTTAAAATCAGGAAATATGTGCATCGGGGTTGTACTCTTTATGATGCACACAGATGAATGCTTTTGTATTATTAATATAAAACAGGCAAGCATCTTTCTAGTATTCGCTTCTTTCAGCCAACATCCATATGGCACCAACAGTTACATACCTTGTGTTTCATCCTCTTCTGAATCAGTATTGTTTTGCTGGCTCTTCCTTACCAAGGCACTGCTACAAACTGTTTTTGAATTATCTTCTGAAAAATTTTATTTGTGATTTGTAATGATATCATTTCATAATTTCTGAATTCTGTTAGATCATCTTTCTTTAAAATGGGCACAAATATGGATCCATTTAAGTTAGTATGCTAGGTAGCTTTCATATAAAACACTTGACATAAATGAATAAACTCTTCCAGCATTGCATCTGTTTGTAGAAACATGTTCATTGGAATTCCATCAATTTCTGGAGTCATGGATTTTGCCAGTTCTTTCAGTGCAGTTTGAACTTCTTCCTTCAATACCATTCATTTTTGATCATATACTACTTCCTGAAGTGGTTGAACACTGACCATTTATTTTTTATGCAATGATTGCATATATCTTCCATTTCCTTTTGATGCTTCCTGCATCATTCAATATTTTGCTCATAGAAACCCTCAGTATTTTAACTTGAGGTTTGAATATTTTCTTCAGGTTGTTTTCATCTTAAAATATGCCAAGAGTGTTCTTCTCTTTTGGTTTTCTAATTCCAGGTCTTTGCACATTTATTTATAAGACTTTACTTTGTCTTCTCAAGTCACCCTTTGAAATCTGTTTAGCTTTTTACCTTCATAATTTCTTCTGTTCCATTTTTTCAGTATTAAATAATTAATAATTAATTAAAGGAAACATATTGTTTAAAATAAAACATAGTGGTGTAACATGTTATGCACAGGAATTCATTGAGAAACAGGGGAATGATGACTAACACATATTATAAATGTCCAGGAAAGGTTTTTAAGGGAGATAGAGACTAGAAAGCATGAGACTTAAAGGTCAGTTTGAACCATAAGTTCAGCAATTCGAACTCACTAGACACTCCTAGGAAACCCTATACAGGGTTGCTATGAGTTGGAATGGACTCAACAGCACTCAACATCAACCATGCCTGACTGAATTTTGAAGGATCAGTGGGACATTATCAGGGAAGTGTAAGCAGGCAGGTAAGCTGGCAGAGAGAAAACAACAGACTAAAAATTGTTTTCTGTGAAATCTTGGAGTAGATTATTTGTCATCGAAAAATAAAATTCATTGATTTCATTTTGGTATATGGTATCAAGCTTCTCTTCTGTACCATTTCATATCTTCTTGGGAGGAGCGAGGTGAATGTGTAGAATAAGCACTGGTCTGTGAATCACAAGGTCAGCAGTTGAAGCTCATCAGCTATCCATGGGAGAAAGATGATATCCACAAAGATTTACAGCCTCAGAAAACCTATGATGGTGGTGGTGGTGATGGAGTCAGGTTGGACTCATAGTGACCCTGTATAGGATTTAGGAGGCAAGGAACTCTGGTAGTGTAGTAGGCAAAGTCAGTAGTTCAACACTACCAGCTGTTCCATGGGAAAAAACATGAGACTTTCTGCTCCCATAAAGATTTACAGCTTTGGAAACCCTGTACAAGATTGAGTCGGACTGGACTCAACTCGATGGCACATAACAACAACAACAAGTCTTTACAGGAGCTGAAAGTCTCTTTTTTCTCTCATGGAACAGCTGGTAGTTTAGAACTGTTGACCGTGAGATTAGCAGCCCAATTCATAACCACTACGCGGTTCTGCGGGAGAAAGATGAGGCGTTCTGCTCTCGTAAAGATTAACAGCCTCGGAAACCCTGTACAGGGTCGCTATGAGTCGGAACCGACTCCACGGCACATAACAACAACAACAACGCCACCTTCAGAAACTGTATACAAGGTTGCTATGAGACAAAACTGACTCTATGGCACACAACAGTAGCAAACATATTCTTGGCTTCCCATGTCTCCTATTTCTGCCTTGGTTCCTCCTACTTTCTTGGAGGCGTACCCTGAGAATGCTTCATCACATTCTCCTGATTTAAAAAAATAAATAAAAATGAATGGTTTTATTTATTACATATATCATCAGCTATATTAATATATATTACACACTTTATTTTTACTGAGAAGTACCTAGGTTATAGCAGTATACCCAGTCATCTGTGCCTAGTCTCCAGACCCCAGGAAGCCATGGCTCCTGCTCCACAGCAGAACACTTGAGAGTCACCTCCATATGCAATTTTCATTCTGGAGCAATAAGACTCTATCTTCATTTTCAGTAAACGCCTCTTCTTTCTCAGGCAGCACGAGACCCCAAACAGTCACTTTACAGTAATGCGCAGCCATTTCCCTTTACACCCAAAGGAGGCACCTCACATTCCCCAAATTTTTGTTTCTATCTCTATCCAGGGTTTCCACTTTTGGTGATATGAGGGCCATCTCTCAGTGCCCAAGTATATGTACGTGAAAATACAGGTGATTTAATACTCTGAGGAGAAAATCTGTATTAGACTTTTGTTACATTCCACAAGACATATTTCTTCAATGCATAGTGTATATATTGTTTTTTGCAAGTCTCTTTATTAGCTTGTATCAAATCCTGTACATAACTACCTGAAATATTGTTGTCTTTAGTATGACGAGCTTTTTAAAAATGAAAATTGCTGTGATAATGAGGCTACAGAGTCTCTACTAAGTGTGCCCCACCCTTTCCAGGCAGTATATAAAGGCTCTGGAAGGGCAGATGACATTCAGACATCAGAATCATCCTTCTACACTTCAACTAAAACTTCACCTTTGGACACCATGTGCTGCAACTACTACGGTGGCTATGGCTGTGGCTGTGGCTATGGCTCAGGCTATGGCTGCGGATACGGTTCTGGCTATGGTTGTGGATATGGTTCCCGCTACGGCTGTGGCTATGGCTCCCGCTATGGCTGTGGCTATGGCTCCGGCTATGGCTGTGGATACGGCTCTGGCTATGGCTGTGGATACAGCCCCCGCTACGGCTGTGGATATGGCTCCCTCTATGGCTGCGGATATGGCTCCCGCTATGGCTGTGGATACGGATGTGGTTATGGCTCTGGCTGTTATGGCTACCAGCCATTTTACTACAGAAGATGCTATTCTTCTTGCTGCTAGAAAATCACTATGAAAGCACCATTCTGAAATGATACTTCTAAAAATATTTTGGATTCAAGAGCCTCTATACCAAGTTTCCTACTCAGGAAAATACATCCTTAACAAAGGCGTTGATCTCTAAGTACCTAATTTTTAGAATGACATATTTACGTGTAAAGATTCCATGATAGCATCTATTTTCCAAATGTCAGCCTTAACTCTCCAATCTCTGTTTATTTATTGAATACACTGATTTCCTCCTGTTGGGAAAATTATTTATTCTCAATAAATTTCTTCATAACTGCTAGTGAATTACTTCTTTCTTGTGATTTTATGTCTTTACTATAAATTGTGAGTACTGGTGGTGAATTGGGATAAGCACTGGCAACACTGGTTTGCTAACCTCAGGTGGGTGGTTCAATCCCATTAGCTTCTTTGCAGGAGAAAGATGAAGTTGTGTATTTCTGTGATGTTTATCTCAGAAACCCATAGGAACAGTTCTACTGTGTCATATAAGGTGTCTATGAGTTAGAATCAACTCAATGGCAGTGAATGTGTTTTAGGTAATTGGACTACCAACATGTTGGCTTAATCTTAATTTCTTCATTGACATGTGTATTTCTGATTATGCTATTTTCTAAGTAATGTCTGCTTCACCTATTTTTGATGGCACTATCTTCAGAAACTTACACACTTAAGCACTCATCAGACAGCATTTCAGAACTGTGCTGTAAATGGCATTGGTGTCTAGAATGAAACTATAGTATTTAAAGAAAGAGAGATGGTACCTCTTCAGGAGGTTATTACAAAAGTTGCAAAGAGCGGAACTGTGGTCAGCATGACCAAAAGGCTAATGGAATTGAAGACATTTTTCAGGCTTATTGAGAAAGTAGAATCTTCTTGGTTGATAAGGATGAAAATAAAGACCCAAGGAAATGATAAGTTAAAAGAGATATACCAAACAATATGAGTTTGATGAGATTGTAAATATGCTTATATTTTGAATAAGTTGAATTAACTCACGTATGCAACGGCTAATTTTTTATTGTTTTGAATTGGCACCAAGTTAGACACTGAGGCTATACCAGGAAAAAACAAAACAAAACTATATACAGTTCATTACTCTCAGAGTGTTTATATTCTAGTAAGCTGGTAATTTTTTTAAAAAGTAAAAATACATTAAGATAAATTCAGATAGAGATTATTGCTATAGGAAAGAAATAAGCTTAATGGGAAGAAAAGTAAGGATTGAAGAGCAAGAAACATAAATCAGAAAGACATAAGTCATAAATATTCTGAAGTTATGATGACTAAGTTGAAAATTGATAATAAAAAGATTTCAGTTACAGAGAAAGTTATAAAGAGCAATGATAAGTGCAAAGAGGGAAGAACAAATTCTATCAGTTTGGGGTGTAATAAGGAGTGCTACATTTCTAGGTGGAAAAGAACAGATTCAGTACCTTATAGGGCTTTCATTGGATTGGGCAAATAAGGCAAAGTGGTTATAAGTTTCATCTAGCTTACCACTGTTCTTTCTACATAATGAAGTCTGAGGTCTTTGGAACTAGGATACCTCACAGAGATGGATGACTCCCAAAATGAAGGCCCTATCGTCAAAGTTAGTGATGGAGTGTGGCTATACTCAGGATCTAACTTTGGCCAACTGATGAGGAATCAGGGCTTCTTTGAAGAACAGACAGTCTTTATACTTGATGAACATTTGTAAAGTTGGATCTGATAACTGGCTATGCTTTGGGTTACCTTGAGGTTAGGCTTACAGATTGTTGTTGAGTGCCATCAAGTCAATTCTGACCCATAGCGACCCTGGATAGGGTTTCCAAGGAGCAGCTGGTGAGCTTGAATAGCCAGCTTTGTAGTCTGGCACAGGACACCAGGACTCCACAGATAGTAGAAGGAAATTCTAGAAATTACAGTTCTTTGGAAATCAAACTTATTGGTTTATCTTGCTCTTTGTTACCAGAAACATTTTGAAAAAGGAAGGCATTCTTATGTATCTGAAAAGGTAATTTATGTATCCAGGTCTTCATAAAATAACATTAATGTATCTTCAAAATATGAAATGTTGTGACTTTCTTGTTATTGTTTATTTTAAGTGCCATAGAGTCCATTCTGACTCATAGCAACCTTGTATAGGGTTTCCAAGGAGTAGCTGGTGAGTTTGAACCACCGACCTTGCAGTTCAGACGACCTTGCAGTCTGATGCATTAGCCGACAGTGCCACACCAGTGACTCTGTTAGTCAAAGACAATTTTTAGTTGTTCAACTTGTGTGAAACAAGTTGTGAAATAATGATAATGCTATAGAGAAAGGGTAATGAAATTAGATAAAGTTTTTTTCTGTGTACATGTGTTAGTATGTGTGTGCCATGAGACTAGTGGACCTTGGAAAAAATAAACGTTTGAATTCATATACTTAATCATGTTATGGAGAGACAGAAGACTGCTTACATTAGGGAGTACTTGCAGAGCAACTATAAAGGCAAATACATTCTAAAATTACTTTAGTTAGAAAACAATTTAAATCTCAAAACTTTTTTTTATAAGAAAACACAAAATCATTTTCTTTGGTCAGCTATTGCCTACTGTAGAGATTCTAAATTATAAAATCATTTATTTATTCTTTCAGTCATTCAGCAAACTTTGTGAGGTAGGTTTCAACTATTTGATGAGAATGTTATTGGGGATATAAAGAGAAAAAAAAATCATTGTCTGCTTCTAACAATTCAAAATCTTCAATTAGACTTTAAAAGCAGATTTATGTTTTATAGCAAGAAAATAGCAGGGATGAAGACAAGTGTTATGGCACTCCCAAAAAAGAACTCAAGAAAAACTAGAATGTGGAATCAATCAGAATATGGAAAAGGGATGATTAAAGGAGGATCAGAAATTGCTTCTAAAGAAGAATGGTTTAGAACAAAGTGTGATATTGGTCAGTTTCATGTGTGGGAAAATGGAACTCTTGGCAGAGGAACATAGGGGGAAAAACAACAACAACAACAACAAAAACTTGCAGCATATTAGCAGAGTAGTAACCTATAGGAGAAAAAATGTAATTAATAGCTACATTAAAGAAATTTCCAGACCCACTAGAATTGTAGTGTGTGATATGGTAGCCACTAGCTATTGGTCAGTTGAAACATGGCTCAATAATATTGCTGTAAATATAAAGTGTATTTCATTAGGCAAATCTGCTGCAAAAGATCTTTTTAAAGTATTAAAGAGCAAAGATACAACTTTGAAGACTAAGTTGTGCCTGACCCAAGCCGTGGCATTGTCAACTTCATCATATGCATTCAAGAGCTGGACAATGAATATGGAAAAGCAGAGAAGAATGGATGCATTTGAATTATGATGTTGATGTAGAAGATTAACTACCAGAAGAAATAAACAAATCTGTTTTGGAAGAAATATTGCTGGATTGTTTCTTGGAAGCAATGATGGTGAGCCTTCATCTCTCATACTATGGACATGTTGTCAAGAAAGACTAGACAACAAAAAAGAGGAAGACCCTCCATAAGATTGAGTGAAATAGTGGCCATAAAAATGGACTTGAACATAATAGCAATTGTGAAGATGGCCCAGGACTAGGCAGTATTTCATTCAACTGTACATAGGGTTGTGTGACTAGAACCCCTCCGATCGCACCTAACAACATATTAACACCAAGTAAAAAACACACACCAAACTTCAAAGACTTAGTAGAAAAAATTAAAAATATAGCAAATAATTAAAAAAATATTTATCGTATATTGTTATTGCTGTTATGTGCCATCAAGTTGCTTATGACCCATAGTGACCCTGTATAGGGTTTCCGAGGAGCAGCTGGTAAACTTGAACCACCAACCTTGCAGGTCAAACGGATTTTGCAGCACAGCGCATTTGCCCACAATGCCACACCAGGACTCCTGCTAAGTGCTGTCGAGTTAGTTCCGACCCACAGTGACCCTCTACAGGGTTTCTGAGGAGCAGCTGGTGAGCTTGAACCACCAACCTTGAAGCTCAAACTAATTTTTCAGTCTAGCGCATTAACCCACAATGCCAGTAATTGAGATATATGATGGTCTTTTTACACAAATATCATACCTTTCTAAGTTTGTCCACCTCTCATAAATGCTATGTTGTTTTTTCTTGCATGCTGCTGTTAAAGAACACTTAACATACTGCATTTACAAAAGAACTTACAATTAGAAGTATTTCTAAAAATGTAGAAAGCATGTGTTATTGGTATAATACAGTACAATAAGTGAAATGCTATTAACATTAATTTTGCATTAAAAAAAAGTACTTAAAAATATGATTATTTGATAACCTAGAAGTCTATGTAGGGATCAGACCATTCTGAGACAACAAGACCACAAAAGTTAGTGGCAGAAATTTCTGAAGTGTACTCAGTAATGACTGTGTTTTATTATGAGATAGACTATTCAGTAAGTGGAGTTCATCCAAGTGCTACCTATTTAGACACAAAAGAAAAGATATATACCGGGTCATATCATACTTAAAAGCAAATCTATGGTGACCAAAACTTGATTGAGTCATTAAAATATGGAAAATGATGTAGACTTTTGGTTGTTAAACCACTGATAATTTGAAAATAGCTATGCTGGTAATATTTACACCAGTATACATATTGTTACTGGTTTTAGCTGCCCTTGATTTGACGCCCTTATGCTCAAATCTTCCACCACTTGTCTGTCAATTTGTCATACTGTGGTGGCTTGTGTGCCATGCCATCAGGATTTTAAATACCATTAGTTTACAGCCATGGTTTTAGCTGAGTTTCTAGAGTAAGAATAGAAAGCAGGAGAGATGGACTACTTCTGAATGTTTAGCCACCTAAATAAAACAAAAATCAATGTTAAGAAAACAAAAATATTCACCACTGGGCTGATAAAAAACATCAAGTTAAATGGAGAAAAGATTGAGGTTATCAAAGATTTCATTTAGTTTGGATCCACTATCAACACTCATTGAAGGAGCAGTCAAGATATCAAACGATAATTGCATTAGGCAAATCTGTGGCACAAGATGTCTTTAAAAAATGTTCAAGAGCAAAGACATCAGTTTGAAGACTATGGTGCATCTGACCAAACCCATGGTATTTTTGATAGCTTCATATGCATATTAAAGTTGGACAATGAATAAGGAACAGTCTAGAAGAACTGATGCATTTGAGTTAAGGTATTGGAGAAGACTGCTAGAAGAATAAACAAATCTGCATTGGAAGATGTACATGACAGAAAGCTGCTTAGAAGCCAGGATGGTGAGACTTCATCTCTCATACTTCTAACATATTGTCAAAATGAAGCAGACTCTGGTGAAGGACATTGTGTTCGGTAAAGTGGAGGGTCACTGAAGAAGAGGAAGACCCCCCCGCCCCACCCCCAACAAGATGAAATGACACTGTGGAAGCAGCAATGGGCTCAGTCTTAATGATTGTGAGGATGGTAGAGGACCAGGCACTGTTTTGTTGTATATAATGTCATATGATTTGGAACCAACTCAAAGTCACCTGACAACAAGAAAACAACATGCACAAATCGTAATGTTTTCAGTGACTGATTTTTTGAAATTGTATCTTCAGTTTTATTTTCCTAGTCCTTAGTCTAGAAGTTCTACTAATATCTGTTCAACATTATAGCAACACACAGACTCCACTGATAGATTGATAGTGGAGGCAGATGAGGCACACGAGCCAGGAATGGAACCATATCTTCCACATGCAAGGAGAGAATTCTACCACTGAGGCTTTTTCACTATGTTCAATCCATGTCCAGGTTTTCTTGAACAATACAACTGTTCTTCTACTATATTATATCTTGCTGTAAGATTTCATTTCCTTAAGGTAATTTAAATGTGAACGCTTCTCAAAATAAAATTTTGTAGATAGTGAATAAGAGCCTAGGTTTCAGAGTGACAATACTTGTGATCTAATATAGACTTTGTCAGTTATTAGAGTAAGCAGAAAATTAATTAAAGAGTGCTACTAAGGATTATTGAGAATATCAAATGAAATAAAGAATGCAGAATTCTAACACTGTGAGAATTCTGTATATTTTTGCTAATATATTTAGTATTTGCTTGTTCAATATGAAATCACTGATATTTAACCATTATTAACATGCACAATTGTCAGTTTTATATTACTCAACCTTATATTCTATGCTCACTAATAATGACAGTTTAAAGACAACCCAGAATTTTAAACAATAACCTCAATGTTATAGCAAAAACACTGTCATGACTTTAAGCTATTTTCTTCTACTCATCACATATATATCCCATAGTATGAACTATAAAATATGATGTGATAAATGATACGTCGATCTAATGTTTGCCATTTGTATGTTGTTGTTAGGTGCCATTGAATCAGTTCCAACTCATAGTAACCCTGTATTGGGTTTCCGAGGAGTGTCTAGTGAGTTCGAACCACCCATGGTGTGATTCCAAGTGATCTTGTGGTCTGGTGTTTATCCTACAGTGCAACATATTTAGGAATACATTTTGGATTTAGTAGAGTAGTTTATTTTCTGATAATTTAGTCTTGTATTTTATTTTATCATCTTCTGTGAGTAAATATTTAATAAATTTCCATTACAGTTGGTCATAGGTATGAGGTCTTTAGTGAAAACAGGCTACTTGGAGGGAGTATGATAACAGTGGAATATTGATTGCAGTAAATTGAGGAGTCAATGAGTAAGGAAATTAAAAACAAAACAAACCATCATAGACTGATCTTCCATGAAACCCTGGGTGAAACAAGAAGAGTGATTTCATAGAATTGGTGATTCAATATTCCTGGAGAGTTTCTAAAGTATAGAACTTAACCTTGACATATAGGCCACACATGCTTTAACCAGTATATTATGTTGTAACCTAATTCTTGCATAATGTAATTCCCAATAACTGTTGCAAAATTAAATTGTACTGTTCAGTCTTTAGGAACCCTAGTAATGTAAATAATTATGAACTCCAAGTTCAGTAGTTTGAATCTAATGTTGCTCCTTGGAAGAACGAGAAGGCTTTCTGCTCACATAAAGATTTACAGCCTCAGAAACTCTATATAGGGTCGCTGTAAGTCGGAATTGACTTGATGGCACAAAACCACCATCACCACCACCATTCAGTCATTATTTAGAGAAGCAATCAATGGAACCATACAAGCAAATATTGTCAACTCAAAACTGTTTTTGGGAGAAGACAGAAAAAATATGAAATATGAAAAGTGTCATGAAGCTTGAAGAATGGAACTTATGTTATTATATTTTAGGGAAAAAATGTATAACTGTATGATAATAATGATTTGAAGGCCAACCTAAAATCTGAGGTTTTACTTTGACATGACAGTTGCTGATATAAGGTGCTTTTATAACCTATGTTGTTATTAAATGCCGTCAAGTCGATTCTGATGCATAGTGACCCTGTATAGGGTTTCCAAGAAGCAGCTGGTGAGCTTGAACCACCGACCTTGCAGTTCAAATGACTTTGCAGTCTGACACATTACCCACAGGCCCACACCAGGACTCCTATATCACCAATATAAACTAAAATTTGAAAGACCTAGAAGAGTTAATATAACTTATTTACAAATACTACAGTATCCAAAATTAGCTTGTAGGGTTGTAAAAAGGTTGCATTCTCTTTTGATAGAGAGTGTAGTGGCATGAAAATAATAGTTGAACAATGCTGTGAGGCATTTAAGAAGAGTTATGGAAAAGATTTCAGAGATGGTTAGAGTTGTCTGCTTGATGCTCCAACTTGTTCAAGTTAGAACTATAGAAGTCACAATACAAGATGAAATAAATAATGTTTGTCATATAAAATACTGAAGTAAAACATTATTCATGGGACTTACCCTAATAATAGTAGTTGAACCAATTCAACTCTGTTAGTCACCAAACAGTAGTCCTTGAGCAATTTACTTTCCTAATTTCTGACTTGTATTATGCATATGATAATAAATATTAAACTTTAAGATTGCTTATGCAAGAGTCAAAGGAAGTAATAAACACATTAATAAAGGAGAATAAAGGTGTTACGGAATATACAGTGACAAAGGAGAATAATACTAATAAAGGAAAATATAAATATTATTATAGTTTTTTTATAGAACACTCTATAAAGTAAAATAAAAATTATTCAAAAGTTAGTACCTCATTTATTAGATTCTCAGCAAATAAGATAGCCACTGGCTGTAAGTAACCTCCAATTGACTGAGGGAAGTGATAATCAAAACAGAACATGTTCAGTACCACATTTGAGTTATGCATGAGCATCTTTGGATGAATACAGTAATGGTATGTAATGTACATTGTGAATGTTCATGGATGCTTCTTACAGGATTTATCAAACTAAAAAACTCAAACTCACTGACATTGCATCAATTTTGACTCATAGCAACCCTTGAGGACAAGAAGTGTTCTATAGGGTTTTCAAGGCTATACATCTTTATGGAGGTAGACTGCTGAATTTTTCTTCTTAGAATGACTGGTGGGTTAAAACTAACAATGATTTGCTTCACAGCCAAGTACTTTATCCACTGTATCACCATCTCTAAAATTGCTATGAGGTGAGACACAATAAAACGAAACAATATGAGGCAAAAATTTGGTAAGGTTAGCAGGTAGATGTTTCAAAGACAGAAAACAACATTATGAAAAAGTTTGTTCTATAAATTCTAGGGGTGCGTTATGTTAATTTTTTATTGCATCATATTCCTCTTTTGACCAATTTCACATCTTGGTTTCACTTGTCTCCTGTTTCTTCTACCACTGCCAAGACCAATCTGCATGGCTCCATCTATTTTCTTGCAGGAAATTACCTGAAAGTGTCTTAATATAGAACCCTGATGTTTGCCTCTCATACCACAGACCAGGAGCTTTTTTCATGATGCTGAGATATGACTTTCAGGGCCATCTCCTAGTGCCCAACTATGTGTGCTGGGAAGTGCAGGAAAGTTAGTGCCTCTGAGGAGAAAATGTGTATTAGCCTTTGATTACATTCCATAAGACATACTTGTTCAATGTGTAGGATGCATCTGCTCTCTTATAACTCTCCTGATTGGCTAGAGCCAAATATTAAATGTAACCACCTGAAAATATTGTTGTCCTTGATATGATGAGCTTTTCAAAAATGAAAATTGCCATAGTAATGAGGCTATAGAATCTGTGTTGAGTGTGCCCCACCCTTTCTGGCAGTATATAAAGGCTCTGGAAGAGCAGACAACATTCAGACTTGAGAATCATCCTCCTGCACCTGACCTAAAACTTCACCTTTGGACACCATGTGTTGTAACTATTATCGTGGCTATGGCTCCGGCTATGGCTGTGGATACGGCTCCCTCTATAGCTGTGGCTATGGCCCCCGCTATGGCTGTGGATACGGCTCTGGCTATGGCTGTGGATATGGCTCCCTCTATGGATGTGGCTATGGCCCCCGCTATGGCTGTGGCTATGGCTCTGGCTATGGCTGTGGATATGGCACCCGCTATGGGTGTGGATATGGCTCTGGCTATGGCTGCTATAGCTATCGCCCAATTAGCTACACAAAATGCTATTCTTCTTGCTGTTAGGACATCACTATCAGAGCACCATTTGCTTCTGAAATGACACTTCTATGAGTAATTCAGAATAAAGAATCTCTGTACCAGAATTTCTATGTTTGTGAAAACACATGCTGTTTCTTACAATGGCATGGCTATGTACAGATGTTCTATGGTATCATCTATTTTCCAAATGTTAGTCTTTACTCCCTAAATCTCTGATTCTCTATTACTGATTCACTGACTTTCCCTTGTTGGGAAAATTTTATTTTCAATAAAATGGTTCTTTGCTTGTAAAAAAAAAATCTCTGTGTACTTGTTTATGATTTACTCCTCTTTGTTTTATGCTCACTATGGAGTCCTGGTGCTGTGTTGTGGGTAAATGTGCTGGACTGCAAAGTTGATTTGAAGCACAAGATCGGCATTTCAAGTTCACCAGCTGCTGGTTAGTAACCCTATACAGGGTCACAATGGGTTGGAACAGACTCGACGGCACTTAACAACAACAGCCACAACTGTGGCACCAGTTACCTCGGAAATCCTATACAAGATCATTATGAGTCAGAATTGACTCTATGGAACACAACAACAATGATGGTGGAACTGTAAGGAGCCTTGGTGGGGCTGTGGGACAAGTGTTTTGGACTAGTCACCACAAGGTCCTGCCCAGGAGAAAGATGAAATTGTATGGCCTAGCAAAGATTTATGGTTTTGAAGCACATTATAGAATCAAAATGAGTCAGAATTGACTCTATGGCAATGGGTTTGGTTTTGGGACATTATTTACTGAGGGAATAAAATGTTGGCTGAATCTTATTTTCTTCATTGAAATTTATATTTCTACTAATGCTTATTGCACAAGTAATGTCTGTTTCACGTTTTTCTTATACTCCTCGTGTTCAGGAATATTTAAAACTAAACACAGTTATACAGCATTTCAGAACTGTGTTTTGGGAATGATATTAGTGTGGAAGATGGGTTGAGAGGGCATAAAAGAGGATGAATGATGCATATTTAGGAGATTATGAAAAAAATCTCAAGGTAGATAAATGGATCAGAGTATTTGAAAGTATGGAATTTAAGAAGTTTCCAGAGTACTTGAGAAAGTAGTATCAGACCTGACTGCTAATCATAGTGAGTAACATACCAGGAAAGAGTAAGTTAGAAGTAATATATGCATCAAATAATCTGAAATGGATGTATGTGCAAATATTTTTTTTACATACTTTAAGGAAGTTGATTTAATTGACATATTCAAGAAATAACATTAAAATGTTTTGAATAGGCACCAGCCTAGACATTGAGAGCATGTTGAAAAATAATATTATACACAAATTACCTGTTCTTACAAACTAGTATGTAGAAATTGAAATCAACAAAAAACATAACAAGGAGTTTTATTTAAAATAAATCCAGATAGAGAGGATACTTTGGAGAGAATAAAACAGATTGATGGGAAGGAGTTAAGTGTTGAAGAACTAGAAACGGAAGCCAGGGAGGCACTCAAGAAAAATAAAATATTGGAGAACTTCAGTCTTTTCTCCATTTATCTTGATTTTATTTATTGGTCCAGGGGTGAGGATTTTGTTTTACTTTACATTGAGATACAACTTATATTGAAGTCTGTGGTCTTTGATCTTCATCAGTAAGTATTTTAAGTCCTCTTCACTTTCAGCAAGCAAGGTTGTAACATCTGCATATCACGCACAGGTTGTTAATGAGTCTTCCTCAAATCAAGACGCATGTTCTTCTCCACATAATCCAGTTTCTTAGATTATTTGCTCAGCATACAGACTGAATAAATATGGTGAAACAATACAATCCAGGTGCACACATTTCCTGATTTTAAACTATTCAATGTCCCTTTGATACTAGGTCAATTAACTAGGACACCCTATGAAACCATGACTCTAAACTCCAAACCAAGGAAATAAATCCCATGAGATGTATGGCTATACATAAACAACAGATGGTCCAATATTAGAAAATCAGTGTAGTACATGGTATCAATACAATGACACAAAAGAACCTCAAGATCATCACTATTGATAAAATCCAACACACTTTCTAGATGAAAATCCTCTCAGAAGGGAAGTTTCTCAATATCACTGATGTTTTACTTTAACATAGAGGTAACATTTTTCTTTATAGATTAGAATTTGTGATACCCATAAGGCTAGTATCATTTCTCATAAATTGCCACTATATCCAAATATAACTTGCAAAGTGGTGAGAAGATTGCATTCTCAGTAGATAGAGAATGCAGTGGCATGATCAAAGTAACTATTATGAGATTGAGTCAATAATGATCTACACTCCATGGATAACCTAGACATTGGCTACCTAAAATGAGGGGATGATAAAGACACAAAGTGACTGGCTTACAAGGTTTCAGGAGGGAATTTAGTTTAAGAGTATGAAAGGGAGAAAGAGTCCCCACTGAATAGTTTTCATCTTGTCTGGATGGATCTGGTGAAAAGAGGTGGGGATAAGATTCTTATAATTCAATAGTGAATAATTGTTATCATGAATATTTGCAACTGTCACAATTGTAAAGGTAGAAGTTTTGTAACAAAAACAGGGGAGTGGTTAATCTCACAGTCCAGAAAAGAGGACCGTAGGACCATCAAGGGAAAAGAGCACACGCAGAATGTGGGACCTTATCCAGAGAAGTAGCGACGCCAGAGATGGAGACGGAGACAGAGATGGGGTCATGGAAAGGGGGAGCAGCTGAGGACTCTAGATTCATGGGAAGAGAGGGACTAAGAGCTTGTGACCAGGAGGCAGACTTGCAGAATGTGTCATTTGGAGGTATAAATTATTATATATGACTGAGTTTTTTTGTTGTTGTTGTTGTTTTGTTTTGTTTTTAAAGCTAAAGTGATAAGAGAGAAATACTGTTAATTGATGGTACACAGAAAGGATTATAATTATTGTAATGAAACAAGGTGTATGATTCGTTGAATGTAAAACTAATGATCTGCCCTGTAAACTTTCACTCAATCCACAATAGAAACCTTAAAAAAAATTAAAAAAAAAAAATAATAATGGTCCACATTCCAGTTATATAAAAATGCCTGTCCTGTCTTCGTCTGATGACAACATTGAGTGTGCACATGAATGATTCTGTTAAATAGATGAGTGACTGTGGATTATGTAGAAAATTATTTGCAAATCAGCCATGACTCTGCCTATTACATAATTCATGACAAATTTGGGTTTCAAAAAGGCTGCATGAGATGGGTACTGAAACAACTCACAGAAGAACATAAACAGAAGTGTTGTTACATCTGCAAACAAAATTTGGACCAATACTTGAAGAAAGGTAAAGGTTTCTTTAAAATATAGTTATTCATAATGAGACATGGATTCATCACTATGTGCCTGATAGTACATGGCAAATTATGGAATGGAAAACTCTTTAATCACCACCCAAGTCAACAGTCAACCATCAGCTGGAAAATTGATGCTTACAGTTTTCTGTGATTCTCAGGAGCAGTACTGGAACACTATCAGGAAAAAAGAGTTTCAACAGTCAATAGGGCTCATTACAATGAGATGTTCATGGAAGAGCTAAAGTCCAAATTTCGTACTGAGCTCAGAGGACTGCTATCTGAGGGAATTGTAATCTTCTATAACAATTCACATCCATACACCTCTGCTCACACTGTTGACACAGAAAAAACTTCATTTTGAGGTGTTAAAGCATCCTCCTTAGAATCTTGATCTTTCTCAATCAGACTTTCACCTATTGGGTCCCCTGAAAGTGGTCCTTCGAGGAAAAAGATTTGCCTCCAATGTAGATGTGAAGACTATTGTGTTCATGACTCGCAACTGAGCCCAAAATGTTTTTTAAATAAGGGAATATGAAAGCTTGTTGGTAGATGGGCAAAGTATATTGAAAATCAAGGACATTGTGTCAAATAATGATATATTTGTCTTCTCTAATAGTTTATTAAGATTCTAAAATTTTACAATCAGAGTGCAGATAATTTTTGACTCACTCGTGTCCAATGTTTTGAGGTGTTTCAGGAGATTATGGAATACATTTGTGATGTTGTGAGAGTTACATGCTTGATGTTTCCAGTGTGTTTTCTTCAGGACTGTGAAGATTGCAGTGTAAGAAGACCCAAATGATGTAAGTATAAGGCAGTCATCCCAAAATGTTGGTACTTGTAGTCAGATGATGGTAATATTTCCATATGAAACACTGAAGGGAAAATAGTCCATGGAACCTCCCCTAATATTTATGTTATAATATTAGTTAAAACAATTTAACACTCCCACTAACCAGCTGACAGTCCTTGAGAAAGTTAGTTTCTTCACCTTTGTTTTCTCATCTGTATCATGTTTATGATAATAAATATTACAATTTGGGACTTCAAATTGTTTTTGTAAGAATATATGATGTTTTAAATGTAAAGGAGACTATGTATATTGATTTTACTTTTATTGTTACTATTTTTATTTTATGTTGCTTTTGTTGTGTGCTGTTGAATGGATTCCAATTCAGCAACCCCATGCAGCAGATTAGAACTGCTCCAGGGGGTTCTAGGTTATAATCTTTATGGGAGGAAATCACCCATTTTTTTTCTTCTATGGCATTCCTGGAGGGTTTAAACCTCTGACCTTACCAGGAGTCCATTTTTCTTTTATTGTTATTATTGTGTGCCGTGGAGTCTGTTCTGATTTATAATGATCTGAGAGCAACTGGTATATTTGAACCAACAACCTTACAGTTACCAATTCAGTGCTTATTTTCAGCACCACATCAGAGCACTGTTATGAAATATTCTATATTAAAATCATGATTGTTAGTCTTTACAAGTAGAAAATGTATTATACAGTTTCATTTAGTCAGTACCTAGTTCATTGAGTTCTCAGAAAATGCACACACCTGAGGTGTAGTGGTTAAGCATTGGATTGCTAACCAAATAGTTAGCAGTTTGAATCCAGCAGCTACTCTGCATAAGTAAGATGACTTATTTTTCTCCTATAAATATATTTGTTTGTTGTTGTTAAGTGCTGTTGAATAGGTTCTGACCCATAGTGACCCTGTGCAGTGACTGGCAAACTTGAACCACTGACTGAGCAGTTCAAATGACTTTGCAGTCCAGTGCATTAATCCACAGCAACACACCAGGACTCCAACCTAGGAAACCCTATAAAGGGTCACTATGAGTCAGAACCAACACAATGGCACATCACCATCACCATATTGATTTTAAATAACTCACAATTGATGGAGGAACCTTATAATAAAAATATCAAACCCAAACCAAGCCCACTGCCAAGAAATTAATTTCAAGTCATAGTGACCCTGCAGAATATAGTAGAAATATTCGACAGAGTTTTGGAGGCTGTAAAACTTTGTGAACACTGATTATTTCATTTTGCTCTTTGGCAGAGACTTGTGGGTTTGAACCTCCAAACTTTCAGTTAGCAGCTCGATGGCTAACTCACAGAATCGGCAAATCTCCTGATAATTCAAATGTTACATGCTGATAACATTCTTAGCATCACATTAGTTATACACAGCAACTCATAAAGAACAGAAGAATGACTCCTAAAACACACTCTGAATGCCCAAACCCCTGCCAATAACATGCATAGCATCACATTAGTTATACACAGCAACTTGTAAAGAACAAAAGAATGACTCCTAAAACATACTCCGAATGTCCAAACCCCTGCCATCAAGTGGATTCTGACTCACAGTAACTCAGGATTTTCAAGACTGTAATCTTTACAGGAACAAAATGTCTCTTCTGTCTTCCAAGGAGTGGCTGGTGGGTTTGAACTGCCATGTGGATTAGCTGCTGAGTGCTTTTTGACTATGCCACCAAGGCTACTTGTGAATGTCCAAGAATGCTTACTATAGGAGGTATAGCCTGAGCTGAGTTTTGAAGGATCAGTGGATAATTATTACCTGAAAATTTACTGAGGTAAGCAGTCAAGATGTTTGAAAGAAAGAAAGATGCATACTAAAAGTTTCTCTGCTATGAAACTGGGGATGATATGAATTATGTTTCATTGGACAAAAACATAGTTGCTTTTGTTTTGGTATATTGCAGCAAACTCCTCTTTTGTACCATTTACCATTTCATGTCTTTTTGACCTTACCTATATCCAGAGTTGCTATCTCCACTGCAGTGCATAGTTTGCATTGGTTCCATGCAGTTTTTGCAGGTATAAACTGAGTGTGCCTCAACATACACTACTACCGTGCCTCTGACAAATCAAGGGCTTTCATACTGATGCTGAGATAATTAGATGCTGGACCATATCCCAGAGTCCAAGTATGTGTACCTGGAAGTGCAGGAGAGTTAATGCCACAGAGGAGAAACTCTATATTAGTCTTTGAATACATTCCACAAGACATATTTGTCCAATGTGTAGGGAACATTTGTGTTGTTACAACTGTCTTATTGGCTGGCATTATATACTGGCTGTAACCATCTGAAAATATTGTTGTCCTTAGTATGATGAGTTTTTTAACTGTAGTAATTGCTGTAGTAATGATGTCATAGAGTCTGTGTTAAAGGTGCCCCACCCCTTTCTGGCAGTATATAAAGGCCCTGGAAGAGCAGATGACATTCAGACTTCAGAATCATCCTCCTACACTTCAACTAAAACTTCACCTTTGGACACCATGTACTGCAACTACTACGGTGGCTATGGCTGTGGCTATGGCTCAGGCTATGGCTGCGGATATGGCTCTGGCTATGGCTGTGGATACGGTTCCCGTTACGGCTGTGGATATGGCTCCCTCTATGGCTGTGGATACGGCTGTGGATACGGTTCCCGTTATGGCTGTGGATATGGCTCTGGCTATGGCTGTGGATACGGTCCCCGCTACGGCTGTGGATATGGCACCCGCTATGGCTGTGGCTATGGCTCCGGCTATGGCTGTGGATATGGTTCCCGCTATGGCTGTGGATATGGCTCTGGCTATGGCTGCTGTAGCTATCGCCCAATTAGCTACACAAAATGCTATTCTTCTTGTTGTTAGGACATCACTATCAGAGCACCATTTGCTTCTGAAATGATACTTCTATGAATATTTCAGATTAAAGAATCTCTGTACCAGAATTCCTATCTTTGAGAAAACACTTGCTGTTTCCTAGAATGGCATTGGGATGTCCAAATGTTCTTTGGTATCATCTATTTTCCAAATGTTATTCTTTACTCCCTTAATATCTGATTCTCTATTATTGAAGCCTTGACTTTCCCTTGTTGGGAAAAATTTTATTCTCAATAAAATGGTTCTGTGCTTGTGAAAAATCTCTGTGTAGTTGCTTATGATTTACACCTTTCTTTATTTTATGGAAGCATATTGCATTAGGCAAATCTGCTGCACAAGGCCTTTTTAAGTGTTGAAGAGCAAAGATGTCAGCTTGAGGACTAAGGTGTGCCTGACCCAAGCCATGGTATTTTCAATAACCTCATATGCATGCAAAAGCTGGACAGTGAATAAAGAAGAATTGATGCTTTTGAGTTACGGTGTTGGAGGAGAATATTGAAAGTTCCATGGGCTGCCAGAAGAACCAACAGATCCGTTTTGGAAGAAGTGTAGCCAGAGTACTCCTTGGAGGCCAAGATGGCCAAACTTCATCCCTCATACTTCAGACATATTGTCAGGAGGGAACAGTCACTGGAGAAGGATATCATGTTTGGTAAGGTGGAGGGTCAGTGAAAAAGAGGAAGACCCCCAACAAGATGGATTGGCCAAGTGGCAGCATCAATGGACTCAAGTGTGGCAACAATAGTGAGGTTGGCCCAGGATCGGGCATTGTTTCGTTCTGTGCATAGGGTCGCTATGAGTCGGTACTGACTCGATGGCACCTAATATCAACAACAATGGTGGCAATGCAAGCTCTGGTGTGGTGGCTCTTACTTTGTCTTTTTAGGAAAACTTTTTTTTCTCTCAATAAAATGGTTCTTCGCTTGTAAAAACATCTGTGTAATTTCTTATGATTTACTTCTTTATTTAATGGCTACTATGATGGAATGTAAGTTCTGGTGTGGGATAAGCACTCGACTGTTTACCCAAAGCTTGCAGTTCAACCCACCAGCCACCTCAGAAACCCTATACAAGAATACTATGAGTCAGAACTTACTCTACAATACACAACACACAACAACAACAATGGTGGCACTGTAAAAAGCCTTGGTGGGGCTGAGGGACAAGTGTCTGGACAAGTCACCACAAGGTCCTGCACAGGAGAAAGATTAAGTTGTATGGCCTAACAAAGATGTACAATTTTGAAGCACTTTATAAGGTCACCACAGTCAGAATTGATTCTATGGCAGAGGGTTTGGTTCCTGGATATTATTAATTGACAGAAAAATATGTTGGCTGAATCTTATTTTTTTCATTGATGCATACATTTCTACTCGTGTTTGTTACCCAAATAATGTCTGCTCCACCTATTTCTTATATTCCACATGTTCAGAAACATACAAAACTAAACACAACCAAATAGTATTTCAGAACTGTGTGGTATGGGATGGGGTAAAAAAGGATGAATGATACATAGTTAGGAGGTTATAACAAAAATCTCAAGGCAAATAAATAAATCAGAGTATTTGAAAGTGTATGGAATTGCAGAGATTTCCAGGATTATTGAGAAAGTAGAATGAGAGTTGACTGCTAATTATAGTGAGTACAACTCTGAGGAAAGAAAAAGTTAGAAGTCAGATACACATCAAATATTCTTAAATAGATGGATATGCAAATATATTTGTTTACATTCTTTGAGGAAGTTGGTTTGATTCACATATTCAAGAGATAACATGAAAATATTTTGAGTAGGCATCAGTCTAGATATTGAGAGCATGGTAGAAAATTGCAGTTATCCACATAGTACCTTCTCTTGCACACTAGTCTGTAGAAACTAAAAGCAACAAAAAACTAAACAAGGAAAGCACTATTTCAAATAAATCCAGATAGAGAGGATACTTTGGAGGAAATAAAACAGATTGATGGGAAGAGGTGAAGGGTTGAAGGACTTGAGATAGAAGTCAGGGAGGCACTCTGAAGATATGATAGTTGACTTGAGATCTGATAATAAAATGATGCCAGTTTCAAAGTAAAACGTTTGTTGTTGTTGTTGTTAGGTACTGTTTAGTAGGTTCTGATTTATAGCCACCCTTGTGGACAACATAATGAAACACAGTCTAGTCCTGCGCCTTTTTCACAATTGCTACGCTTGAGGCCATAGTTGCTGCCACTGTGTCAATCTATCTCATTGGGGGTTTTCTTCTTCTTCCTTGACACTCCACTTTATCAAGTATCAAGTTCTTCTCCAGGTACTGGTCCCTTCAGATAATATGTTGGAATATGAGATAAGAAATCTCTCCATCTTTGCTTCTAAGGAACTTTCTGGTTGTACTTCTTCTATAGCAGATATATTCGTTCTTCTGGCAATCCATGGTAGTTTTAATATTCTTTTCCAACATTGTAAATCAAATGCATCAATTCTTCTATGGTCATCTATGGTCACAAGCGTATGAGGTTATTGAAAATACTAGGACTTGGGTCAGGTGCACCTTAGTCCTCAAACTGACATCTTTGCTCTTCAACACTTTAAAGAGGTCTTGTGCATCAGATTTGCCTAATGCAATATGTCCTTTGATATCTTGACTGCTGCTTCCATGAGTGTTGATGGTTGATCCAACAAAATCATGTCATTGACAATTTACATGTTTTCTTCATTTATCTGGACCACATTTACTGGTCCAGTGGTAAGGATTTTGGTTTTCTTTACATTGATGTGCAACTCATATTGAAGTCTGTGGTCTTTGATCTTCATCAGTAAGTATTTTAAATCTTCTTTATTTTCACAAACCAAGGTTGTTACATATGTTGCATACCACAGATTGTTAATGAGTCATCCTTTAATGCAGACCTACGTTCTTTTTCATATAATCCAGTTTCTCGGGTTATTTGCTCAGCATACAGATTTAATAAATATGGTGAAAAAATACAACTCTGGTGCACACTTTTTTCTGATTTTAAACCAGTCAATGTCCTTTTGTTCGGTTAGAAATGCTGCCTCTTGATCTATGTACAAGCTCCTCATGAACACAATTAAGTGTTCTGGAATACTTATTCTTCACAAAGCTATTCATGGTGTGTCATGGTCTGCACAGTTGAAAGCCTTTGTATAGTCAATAGAACCCAGGTGAATATCTTTCTGGTATCTCTGCTTTCTGGCACGGTCCATTTGACATGAACAATGATTTCCCTGATTCTACGTCCTCTTCTGTATCCTGCTTAAACCTCTGGTAGTTTCCTGTTGAAATTTATATTGCAGCCATGTTTGAATTATCTTAGGCAAGCTTTACATCCATGTGATATTAATGACATTGTCTGCTGATTTCCATATTCTGTTGCATCAAATCTCTTTGGAATTGACACAAAAATGGATTCTATTGAATCAATTGGCCATGTAACTGGTTTCCATATTTCATGGAATAGATGAGTGAATGCTTCCAGTGCTGCAACAGTTTGTTGAAAGATTTCGAATTGTATTCTCTCAATTCCTGGGTCCTTGTTCTTTGCCAATGCCTTCAGTAAACCCTGTATGTCTTCCTCAATAGCATTGGCTCTTATTAAATGCTACCTCTTGAAATGGTTGAACTTCATTTGATGTAATACACAGAAATCAAACTAATTACATCTGTGGAAAGGGACAGTGGAAAAGCTTTATATCATCAGCCAAAACAAGGTCAGGGGCAAACTGTGGAACAAACCATGAATTTTCATATTCAAGTTCAGGATGAAGCTGAAGAAAATGAAAACAGGTCCATGAGAGCCAAAATACAACCTTGAACATTTCCTACCTTAACTTAGAAATCA